CCCCTGGATGTTGTGTGACGGGGTGAGTACTCCCTCTTCTCCACAACATCTTTGTAAGACTGTCATTCCAGGAGAGGGCACTCACCAGCTGCGGGGCATTACCGATCAGCGGCAGCTGCAGATCCTCTAATCAACCGCAGCAGAGCTCTATTTAAGAGGAGAGGGAACCACTTCACATCGCTGGATGATTAACTACTCACGGTAGAATCTTGCCACTCAGTTCTAGGTTTTGCTTGGTCTCTGCTCAGACATTTGTGCTGTCACAGTTTTTGGATTTATCTGGTTTTTTGTGCTTGGATTTTTTGGTTTTGGACTCACGTCTGTTTCATCTTCAGGATACTTGGAATCGCTGAACCATTGTTGGATGTACCTACCTGGAAGTCACCATAACCCGCCTGGATTACAATTCTCAAGGTTCGCCTCTCCTCCTTCTCCACTGCCCTCTGCCGCCATCATCTGGCTCCCTCTCCTGGACACCCCGTCACACCGTCTGCCCTCCCTGCTGGCTTCTGGACTCGTGCCGGCTTCGTTGTACTTGGATATTTCCAGGACACTTTTAGTTAGGTTAAATAAATCATTGTTTGAACTTTCTTCTTTGTCATGTGATGATTCTTCATGTCGTGGGTTAAACACCATCCCAGGGACATGACAGAATCATCCAGCCAAAACGCTAACCCCACGGAATCATCACTCACCGATTTCAGTTCTAGGTTAACTCAGCATGAACAGGCCCTGCCGGTCTTATTGGAACACCTCCAGATTGTTAACCAACGATCTCAACAGCTGGAGGCCATGATCCGTCAACTTCAACAGGGCTTGACCCAGCTCCAGGCTCAGGAACCCTCTCAGGAGAGAGCCTCCACCTCCCAAGGAAACCTCGCCATTCCTGAGCTCAATACTGAAGGGGCCGCGGCCGCGGAACCCGCCTATTACCGCACCGCCCCTGCACCTCCTGCTCAGACGTACAGTGGAGAGTTCGAGGAGTGCCACAGTTTTCTCCTCCAGTGTCAGTTGGCGTTTGCACGGTCTCCTGGAGCCTTCCACACTGATGTAAGTCGCATTTCTTATATTATTGGACTGCTACGAGGAAAAGCTTTAAGGTGGGCAGAAGCTAAGAGCCACAACCCTGCCTTTTTGGCAGGCCCCTTGGACGTTTTCCTGGCAGAATTTAAGTTGACTTTTGGCTCTGACATATCCCCCATGGACATAAGCAGGAGGCTGTGGACGCTGTCACAGGGGCAGAGGACGGTGGCAGAGATGACTTTGGATTTCCGTACCCTGGCGGCTCGATCCGCCTGGAACGAGGAGGCCCTCATCGCCGCCTTTACGGAGGCTCTAAACAGCCGCATTAGGAACCAGCTTGCCATGTGCCCGGAACCTCAGTCCCTGGAGGGGCTGATCAAGCTGGCCATCTCCCTCGACAAGAGGCACCGGGAGCTTCACGTGCCCACACCTACACCGTCAACTGGGTCAGTGAGTCACCCCCCGGAGGAACCCATGCAATTAGGAAAGACCAAACTCAGCAAGGAGGAACGTGAACATCGCATGAGGTCAGGTCTTTGCATGTACTGTGGGGGGTCTGGGCACTTTGCTAAAACCTGCCCGGTTCTGGTAAAAGGGGCGTGCCCACCGGTAATGTCGGGACTACTGGTAGGCAGTCAGAACTCTAAGGGGTCCCGTAGTGTGTTACCTTGTATGTTGTACGCTAATGCTAAACAGTTTCCGATAGATGCTTTATTGGATTCAGGTTGTGAACAATCTTTGATTGACACAGAACGAGTACGTCAGTGGGGAATTCCCACGACCCGGCTCTCCACTCCACTCACGGTGGCGGCTCTGGATGGACGCAGCTTAACCACCATCACGCATCGGATTGTCCCGGTAAAACTCAGGGTGTCGGGAAATCATGTGGAGGAAATAGAGTTTTTTGTTTTTCCCTCCCTACAGACTGCAGTAGTGCTCGGTCACCCTTGGCTCCTCCGCCACAATCCCCAGGTGAACTGGGAGACGGGAAGAGTGGAGGGGTGGAGCCCGAGATGCTCCCAGTCCTGCCTCGGAGCAGCCCCTCCTAACATCAGCGCGTCCAGACCGCCATCAGCCGAGAAGATTGACCTGTCTAATGTACCCCAGGAGTATCACGACCTCGCACAGGTATTTAGTAAGGACAGAGCTACTTCTCTTCCTCCACACAGGCCTTTTGACTGTAGCATAGAGCTGCTGCCTGGGGCTCCTCTTCCCAGCAGTCGTCTGTACCACCTCTCCAGACCTGAGCAGGAGAGCATGTAGACCTACATACAGGAATCCCTGGCCGCTGGACTCATTCGACCCTCTTCCTCTCCCCTGGGCGCGGGGTTTTTCTTCGTCCCAAAGAAGGAAGGTACCCTCAGACCTTGCATAGACTATAGAGGACTAAACCAGATCACTGTAAAGAATAAATACCCGTTGCCTCTACTCAGCTCGACCTTCGAACCTGTGCAGAACGCACGGGTGTTTAGCCGTCTAGATCTTTGGAACGCGTACCACCTGGTGCGCATCAGGCAAGGGGATGAGTGGAAGACGGCTTTTAAGACTCCTATTGAACATTATGAGTATTTGGTTATGCCTTTTGGGTTGACTAATGCCCCTGCTGTATTCCAGGCGCTTGTGAACTCTGTGTTGGGCGATTTCCTGAATAAGTTTGTAACAGTTTATTTAGACGACATTTTGATTTTTTCAGAGGACTCTGCACAGCATGTGGAACATGTTAGAGCGGTTCTCCAGCGGTTGTTGGAGAATCGCTTATATGTCAAAGCAGAGAAGTGTTTGTTTCATGTCCCACAGGTCAAGTTCCTCGGGTTCATCATGGAACATGGGAGGCTCAGAGCGGATCCGGAGAAGGTCCGCGGGGTCACGGAGTGGCCCACCCCCTCATCCAGGAAACAGCTGCAGCGCTTCCTGGGATTTGCGAACTTTTACCAGCGCTTCAATAAGGGATACAGCCAGGTAGCCGCACCGCTAACTAACTTAACGTCTGTGAAACGCCCATTTGTCTGGTCTCCAGAAGCCGAGGCTGCTTTCCAGGAACTTAAGAGGCGCTTCACCGCCGCTCCAGTCCTCCACAGACCCGATCCCCAGAGGCAGTTCGTGCTAGAGGTGGATGCATCTGAGACCGGGGTGGGGGCGGTCCTCTCACAGGTAGCGCCCAAGGGCAATAAACTGCACCCGTGTGCCTTTTTCTCCAGGCGGCTGTCCCCGACGGAGAGCCGTTACGACGTGGGAGACCGGGAGCTGCTCGCGGTGAAACTCGCCATCGAGGAATGGAGGCATTGGCTGGAAGGAGCGGAACAGCCGTTCCTAATATGGACAGACCACAAAAACTTAATCTATCTGAAAGAAGCCAAACGTCTTAACCCCCGCCAATACAGGTGGTCGTTGTTTTTCTCACGCTTTAATTTTCAGATTTCTTATCGCCCTGGATCAAAGAACACTAAACCCGATGCCTTATCCAGACTGTATGCACCAGACCAAGAACCCGAGCCCGAACCCATCCTTCCTTCGTCGTGTGTGGTAGGTGGGATCACCTGGGAGATCCGGGACAAGGTTTTGGAGGCACTCAAAACCGAGCCCGGACCAGGGGGACCCCCAGGGAGGCTATTCGTTCCTCAGGCGCTTAGGGGGCAGGTTATACATTGGGCACACACAGGAAGGTTTTCCATTCATCCAGGTGTGGGACGCACTATAGCTCTGATACGACGGACCTTCTGGTGGCCCTCCATGTATATAGACATTAAGAACTATATTTCAGCTTGTCATGTGTGCGCTCAGCAAAAGGGAGACCACCGAGCCCCAGCTGGGCTCCTCTGTCCCCTTCCTAATCCGTCACGTCCCTGGTCGCATATAGCGCTTGATTTTGTTGTAGGTCTTCCGGAATCTCAGGGCTTCACATGTATCATGTCTGTGGTCGACAGGTTTTCAAAAGCATGTCATTTGGTGCCTCTTAAAGGTCTTCCCTCCTCGACTGTTACTGCCAAACTCCTTGTGAAGCATGTTTTTAGGCTGCATGGTATTCCCACGGAGATTCTGTCTGACCGGGGTCCCCAATTCGTGGCTCGGGTCTGGAAGGAGTTCGCAGAAGCTCTGGGCGCCAAGGTCGCCCTCACCTCCGGCCACCATCCTCAGACTAATGGGCAGTGTGAGCGGTTAAACCAAGAGCTGGGTGCCATGCTGCGTTGTGTCTGCTCCTCCCAGCCCAACACCTGGAGCACACATTTAGCATGGATCGAGTATGCTCACAACTGCCATGTATCCACCTCCACCGGTCAGTCACCATTTGAGGCGTCTCTGGGTTACCAACCCTCACTGTTTCCACAGCAGTCCTCGGCTTCAGTCTCCATCCCGCAGTTTCTCAGGGGGGGCAGACGGGCATGGGCCTCTACCCGGGCGGCATTGGAGCGCACTGCCGCCAGGAACAAGCAGCTGGCAGACCGACACCGGCGCCCCGCCCCGCTGTACTCTCCGGGTCAGGATGTTTGGCTGTCTTCCCGGGACATCCCGCTAAAGGCCTCCTCTAGGAAGCTCACTCCGAGGTTCATCGGCCCCTTCAGGGTCCTGGACACGCCTACTCCCACCACGGTTCGGCTGGACCTCCCCAGGAACATGAAGGTACACCCTGTATTTCACATTTCCTTGGTTAAACCCGTTGGTTCCAGTCCTCTTTGCCCTGCTCCTGCGCCTTCGCCGCCGGCCCGGCTCTACAAGGGGGGACTGGTCTACTCAGTCCGGCGGATCCTCGACTCCCGACCCCGTGGTCGTGGGGTCCAGTACCTGGTTGACTGGGAGGGGTACGGCCCAGAGGAACGCTCCTGGGTCCCGCGCTCCTTCATCATGAACCATTCCCTCATTCGGGACTACGAGGAGTCGGTTGCTAGGACGCCAGGTAGCGTCCGTTGGGGGGGGGGGGGCATTGTTGTGTGACGGGGTGAGTACTCCCTCTTCTCCACAACATCTTTGTAAGACTGTCATTCCAGGAGAGGGCACTCACCAGCTGCGGGGCATTACCGATCAGTGGCAGCTGCAGATCCTCTAATCAACCGCAGCAGAGCTCTATTTAAGAGGAGAGGGAACCACTTCACATCGCTGGATGATTAACTACTCACGGTAGAATCTTGCCACTCAGTTCTAGGTTTTGCTTGGTCTCTGCTCAGACATTTGTGCTGTCACAGTTTTTGGATTTATCTGGTTTTTTGTGCTTGGATTTTTTGGTTTTGGACTCACGTCTGTTTCATCTTCAGGATACTTGGAATCTCTGAACCATTGTTGGATGTACCTACCTGGAAGTCACCATAACCCGCCTGGATTACAATTCTCAAGGTTCGCCTCTCCTCCTTCTCCACTGCCCTCTGCCGCCATCATCTGGCTCCCTCTCCTGGACACCCCGTCACACCGTCTGCCCTCCCTGCTGGCTTCTGGACTCGTGCCGGCTTCGTTGTACTTGGATATTTCCAGGACACTTTTAGTTAGGTTAATAAATCATTGTTTGAACTTTCTTCTTTGTCATGTGATGATTCTTCATGTCGTGGGTTAAACACCATCCCAGGGACATGACACTGGACCAGTGGAGAAGGAATGGACAAAGCAGAGAGGGCCGGTCAGGGGTGAAACAGGTCCACTCCCTGGATGTGCTAAGAGTGCAAGAAAGAGTTTGTCTGCAGCAGGACAAGAACCGCTCTGCAGAAGAGCACAGCAGCTAAAAGCTCCTGAACATTGACGGACATTATCACCTGAAACTCAGACACTGAAAGTTGTTCATATGAAAAATCAATACCAGGTTAGGTTTGATTTCTGCTACTTCAGATTTTTTGTTCATGAACATTTTCTTTTTATACTTTTCTGAAGAAAAATAATATCTGTTTTTTTTCTGCTATTATTGTTTTGGTTTAAAATGCCAATTATAAACTACGCACTAGCTTTAAATTTTAATAGCTCAATAAAACCAGTTATAATTAAAATAATTAATCTCAGCCCATCAGAAAAACTGTGATCTTGACCTCTGTCTTGATACAGGAGTCTTTAATGAATTGTTGTCATACTTGTTAACATGTAGCCCCTTTATTATGGTATGTGTGATGTTAACACCCCTCCCAGGGTGGAGGTCTGCACTCTGACTGCTTTCTAGTTTTTGTTACTCATCTTTCTGGAGTGTTTAATTTTAATACAGTACCATGTTTTGCTTGCAATTCGTGACAATTTATGGTGTGTTTATGGATAATCTAAGGTAAGCTATCATTCAATTGCAGTTTGTCAAAGTAGGGGGGGGGGGGGGGGGCAGAACAAAATCTTGCATAGGGCCCCCACAATGCTAGAAACGGCCCTGGTTTTACTTTTTAATTATTACGCTTTTAGTTGTTCGGCCTTTACTTTGACTTGTCACCTTTCCCTGTGCAGCCCTTTGGTAGGCTGCCATCCCGTCTGAAACGTGCTTTAGAAAGAAATTTGACTTTGAATAATCTTTCAGTGATTTCGACGTGCCAAAAAAACGACCCACAGTGTGAGTGACTTGAGTAGTTAAACTGGGCAGAGTGCCGGGTTCTTCATATGGGCATACACCAACAGGGCCACTGTGGGTAGTTTTTAGGAACACACAACTGAAGGGTGCCCACAAAGATCCCCCGTAGTTCACTTCAAATGAGTGTGAACTCTAGTCCCAAACCTTATCACTGGATTTGGAAAATGCATCAAAATCTGACACAAATTCTCCAGAGTACAACTTACAAGGCATTCATTCCTAGAGAGCACAACAGATGTATTACAATATGAGTGAAGAACATCTGCCTGACCCAGATCAGTAACTGGCTGTCCAGCAACTTTCTTGTCCTCAATGCTAACAAGACAGAGACCCTGATCACTGCACCCCCAGAACTTCAGCCAAAAATCGAGCAAGAAATTGTCACTTTTTGCCCGTCAGCCAAGGCCAACATTAGAAACCTAGGAGTTATTTTTGATCCAGCTTTAAGTTTAGACTCACACATCAAAACCATCTCCCGCTCTTGTTTCTTTCAACTGAGAAACATTTCAAAAGTCCGTAAACTGGTTTCTACTGCAGATCTGGAAAAAATCATCCATGCCTTTGTGTCATCACGCTTAGACTACTGTAACGCTCTTTTTACTGGTCTCAGCAGAACCTCCCTCTCACGCCTTCAAGCCATCCAAAATGCAGCAGCCAGACTCCTAACCAAATCCAGCAGACGAGCTCACATCACTCCAGGTTTACAGTCCCTCCACTGGCTCCCAGTAGAATATAGAATACAGTTTAAAGTTTTAGTCCTGACCTATAGAGCTCTTAACAACCAGGCTCCAAGCTACCTATCTGAGCTTTTATCCCCACACACCACCTCTCGGAACCTTAGATCCACATCTGAAAACCTCCTGGCTGTTCCTCGAACCAGACTGAAAACCAAAGGGGACAGGGCCTTTCAGACTATTGCACCCAGACTTTGGAACAGTCTGCCTTCAAATCTCCGTCTCTCTAACACTGTAGAGGTCTTCAAAAATCATCTAAAAACTCACCTTTTCATCCAGGCGTTCCCTCCCTAAATGTTCTAAAAGATGGCTTTGTTCGGGTTCACACCTTCACTTTGTTTACTCATGATTTTATTTTCTATTTTATCACTGCTATTGTTTTTCTGATGTTTTTATTGGTTAGATGTATTTGCCCTGATCTTTATCATGTTGTACAGCGCTTTGTGATTTATATCTGAGAAAGGCGCTATATAAATAAACTTTTACTTACTTACTTACTTCAGAAGAAGTTGATCACATTTTAGAAACACAACTTTATTGTTTTATTCGGGAGGACTTCCACCCAAATCACTTTTCACAACTCTGTTTCAAAGTGTGAACTAACAGAGAAATATTAAAAAGGGTAGAGTCTTCACAGCACCGTCAGACCCGCTACCCTCTCCTGTCCATCACAGCTCGTCCCTGCTGCTCTGAGGCTCCGGGGACGTCGAGTCCTGTTCTGAGGCGGCTTTTATTGCTGTTTTTTTAAGATGCTGGCTCTGGTCTTCAGCTGTAGCTGCAGCTTTGGTCTTAACGGAAGATTTAGAGACTGGTTTCGTTTTCGCTCTGTCTTTTGACTGGTTGGCTGGTTTTTTAGTCTTGGTTTCAGCAGATGAGTCCACCCTCTGTTCTGATCCTTCACCTTCTGGTTTCTGATCAGCTGCCACCTGGTCTGCTTTTGAGGAGGATGGCTGAGACTCAAAAGGGTCGCTCGGCTTCTTCAGGGTGAATTCTTCATTCACAGGAGTGGAAAACATCTTCAGCATGTCCTGGGCCTGGATTCTTTCCTGCAAAACAAAACAAAAACACACGTGGGTTGAAAATGGATGTCCGCCACATAATTTACAGTTTAGTCAGCTGATACCTGTAACCAGGCGATTAATGACATTACCTTCTCTTCATGAGATGGGTCGAGGGTGAACCACAGCGCCACGGCACACCTCTGACCCTTGGTGACAGCTCGGACCCCATGGGGGTTTTCCTTTCCCGCTCCAAACCCAACAACACGACCACAGCGTGGATGAACCTCCGCCTGGAGAAGAGGGAGCACATCTTCAGACGACACCACAGAGTCACGAGTCCACACACTCTACACAGGTCTCTTCAGTCTGAACTTTCCTCTTTTTTTCCAGTCTGATAAGTTGTTGTTAGTAAAAGCTCAGTGAGACCTTGTGTCTCATTGTGCTTCAGTCACTCAGTTCAAGACTAAAATAATGTACCGTATTTTCCGGTGTATAAGTCGCTCTGGAGTTGAAGTCTTACCAGGCATAAAATGTATAATGAAGAAAAAAACATATATAAGTCGCATTTTGGGGGTAAATTTTATTATTTTTCTTACAAAATCTGAGACCAAGCGTTTCACATTGCAAGACAAGTACCGGTAACAATAACAGAATAAACAACGCGGGCGCAGCAGCGCCACGGTCTCCAGCAGATGATGGCGGTGTTTGAAACCCTCCCAGCGGGCCAGGGGAGCTCATTCCTGGACCGGAGCCGGCCCGCAGCAGCGCGGTGTACATAATTTGGAATATAAGTCGCAGGAACAGCCAGACTATGAAAAAAAGTGTGACTTATAGTCCGGAAAATACGGTATATAGAACAATAACTTAGTCTGTTTATTAAAAGTCCTTGTTAACAGAGTGGTGGACACTCGGCCCGTCCTCAGCTCACCGTGACTGTTTTTGCATCCAACTCAGTGAAGATGAACTCTCCTCCCTCAAAGTCATCGTTCAGATAAAGTATGGCACTAGAGAGGAGAGATTTCAGTGTGTTAGCCATGTGTGTCCCTACAGTGTGTGTGTGTGTGTGTGTCCTAACCTGTAGTCCCTGTGTGTGTATGCAGGAGGCTCTTTGATACACTGGTTTAGCTCAGAATTCAGCACACAGTTGTCCACATGCACAGGGTGGCTCAGGTCTTCTCGGCCCTCCTGTTTCTCTGCAAAGGTAAGTCAACAGTTTGACTGGTGTTTGGTGTTCTGCTGCCACCTGGTGGACAGACGCAGGTATCAGCCCAGGCTGAAAGTACAGTAGATGATGAAAAGTCTCCGGATGATGTCATCTTGACCTGACTGATTCACTCTGTCACAAACATGTGTTTACATTTAGGTGAATTCTCAGCAGTGATCACACGGTGGACTATTGGCTTCAGTCCTGTCTGGAGCCAGTCCAGAATCCTAACTGGTACCAGGAGGAGGGATGGCTACACTTTGGTTGTTTTCTGGGTATTGCTGTCTTGAGTAGAGGGTGACTTACCATCAACAGCTGAGCGACAGACCAGGTGAGAGTAGGAGGAGTAGAGCGGCGTGTCCAGGTGGAAGTACGACTCCAACACCTTTCTGACCTTCTCACTCAGGTCAAAGAACAAGCCAGCACTCTTCAGAGGAACCTTCCCCTCCTGGCCCAGCTGTACCAAAGTGGACATGCAATTTCACACACGATGAGTTTTTATTTAACACACTGTGTTAATCCAAAATATGTGGAGACCAGTCTGACGCTCTCATATCACCCTCCTCCTCCATCTTTATCCAAAAAAATGAAGGGATTAAGAATCCTCAGAGTCCACTTGCGTTCTAACTGTTTACTCAAAATTAAACAAAACGATACAAAAGACTTTTCCACAAGTTGCTAATGAAACAAAATAGTAAGGCGGAGAATTAAAGGGCAAAGGGAGGTCTGGCTCCACTCCCTGTCTTGTCTGAGAAAAGTCGCCATCCACTTTTACTGTTTTTTCTTATTCACACAATCTAAGAAACACTCCCCCTACTGGCTCATTCAAGTAAAGCATACAAAACAAATAAGCCACTTTTCTTCATATCTTGTACTTCTTATTTCAAATTTCAAACTTAAATAATACTTGCGTTTAACCCTCCCACTGTCTTTATGGGGGTGACCCCGCCAGGAGAGTTGACCATTGAGCAGGACTGATGGTTCATCCCTTGGGTCCACGTGGCAGGGGTGAGCACCGCCTCACCCCTGCCACGTGGACCTCAATCCTGCTCAATGGTCAACTTTCCTGGCGGGGTCACCCCCATAAAGACAGTGGGAGGGTTAATAGTTAAGCAACTTTGAATCAATGAAGAGTGACATAAAAAGTGAGCAACTAAGCAGCTATAATCATTATTTATATTCACCTCAGTTCAGGCTCCTACACACTGTCTACACAACAGGAACTCACTCACTCACTCACTCACTCACTCACTCACTCACTCACTCACGCAGACGTATTTCGGTTCCCGTCTACAGACCTTGACAGTCTTCAGGATTGTGACTCCCTGGAACATCTCATTGGGCGTGTGTGGAGATGGCTGTCCACTGTAGCCATCACCTTTCAGCGCAGCCCCCTGGGAAATGACCGCACAGAGACATGAGGATGTGTCGACATGTGGCAGACAGACATTGGAGACTGCTTTTTCTTGGAGCAGGGTATATACAGCAATCCTTAAGTAAAATTTACTACTTTTTAATACTTTTTTTTACTACCTTCAGAATTTTTTTACAACCATCACAACACTAAATTAAAAAGGGTTAATCAGCGACCTATTTACACATATTTTAACATATATAACATACAAAAAGAATTGACTTAGAGACTCACTGATGTTGACAACGTATTGCACATATTTATTTTACTTAGAAAATAAGCCAGGCACTTCTGTTCAACGGTTCAGACAGTTGACCACGGGGCCTGAAATGATGCACAACGACCACTGAATATGACGTCATCATTATGTGACCGGATATGCTAAAGTAGGGCTGCTCGATTATGGCAAAAACAATAATCACGATTATTGTGACTGAAATTGAGATCTCGATTATTTAAGATGATTTTTCAATTTATGTAGATTTTTTGTTGTTGTTTTTATTCAGTCATAAAATTGCTCAGGGCACAATCAGGACAAAAATAAACAAGAAACAAAATGATCACTAAAAGAACTCCTGATTCCCAGTATAAAAAGACCAATATACTTATAGCTCATAGTCTATGACCCAAGGGCTAAAGACCTTGGTTTAACTCATGTAAGTCTAACCAGTACAGACCCAAATACCAATATCTTGCAAATACTGACAGCAAGAATTATACAGTGGCATTTATAACAAATACATGCAAATTGATGTTCACTAAATTTTGCATAACATTTATTTAGTCGTGTCAAGGTGCTGTAGGAGCGTGCACTAGCACCGTGTCCTCAGAGAGATTAGTTATTTATCAGCGTGAGGAACTTATTTCTATTTCTACCTTATTTATAAACTATTTATTTACAAGTCCATCAGTTAATGTAATAATTGTCCCAACCACAGCTGCACCCCCCACCCCCCAACCCGGTCTCACAGCAATCAGGGGCAAGCTGCACGTGTGTTTAGCACGCCGCACGCGCACATTTAGCCGTTTTTATCGGCTCAGGAGTCCGCAGGTGCAGTGTGTGTGTCACTCACTCTGGTTACTCCCAACAGGGAGCCGGCTCCGAGAGCTGTCTTTAGCGACTGACACATCACTACATCATTCCCTTTCCTAATGCCCTGAAGAACGGTCCAGAGCGCAGGCGGAGTTTTTAGCTAACCTGCAGGAAACGTCGACGACAGTTATCCAGAAAGTAGCTAAGGGTTACCAGAGATGTTTCTCAGGTGTTTGCTAGGTAGTAGGTACTTTTAAGATTTAAAAAGTCAAGAAGGGGGTCTGAGAAGCTGCTAGAAACAGCGTCAAAGTCGCCAAGTTGGCAACACTGTGGAGGAGCGCTTCATTTGCAACTCCGGGCAGCACAAGTGGGAGGAGCAAATAATCGGCTTGTTTTGTTTTTATAATCGTTCAAAACATTTCATTCGGAATATATTTCTATGTCGATGTTCAGAATACGACATCTGATAGTCTGAAAAAATAATAGCTAATTTGGAAAAAATAATACCTCTGAGACCAAATTTAACACTTTTAATGGCCTTAAATTTGACTATTTTTATTTATCACTTTTTAATACTTTTTAAAACCCCGCGGACACCCTGTTGGAGGGACTCACGTTGGACAAGCGCCGCAGCTCCCTGCAGTCATCGTCACTGATCAGCCCGTCCAGAAGCACGCGCTGGGAACCATTCAGCTGCCTGGATGTCATGGTCACCCTGACATTATCGTACAGCAGAGCACCACCTATAGGTAACAGCAGAAATTCAAGAAGAAACTGTCCATCAGGTCTAGTTCTCTCAAGCAAGTTTTCCAGGAACACTACTCAGAGTAACTCGGACCAACCGCTGTTCCCGAGGGAACGGTTCAAAAATTTTTCCTCTACTTTCTCCCTAATGCTTGGTCTCTGCTCCGTTGGGGTACCTGGCAAGGCTGAGTAGGGCCAGCATCATGAATCTGGCCGCTGATTGGCTAGGGTGAGGAGTCACTGGTTGCTCCAACACTGCCTGCAGCCATTTCCTGGTTCAGGGTCTGACAATAAGCCCTAAAACTGAGCAGAAAGCCTAGCAACACCACCATTTTTCAGCTGATTTGTAATTCTCTGGAGCAAACAAGTAACCTTACACTGTTTACTGACCCCCTCATGCTATTTTAAGTCATGAGTAAAAGTCATGTGCCCCCCCCAATACTCCACCCCACCACTCCTATCTGCGAGTGCTGTGGATCCGACCCTTCCTGCCCCCCGCACCTGTGAGGGGCGCACCCACTTCCTGTCATGAAGCTGGCATGGGAACACAACTACAGTCAGATGGGCTGACTCAAACCATGCTGTACAGAGCTGTTTCAGGCTGAGTAGTGCTCCTGGAAAACTAGCTCAAGACTGGTTGGTTCCGACCTTCCTGTGGCGCAACCATCTTAGCCATGTCCGAGGAATCCTTCTTCTTCTCCTCAACCAGGGTCTCGATCTCTTTCATCAGGTTTCCGATCTCCTCTGTGATCCTGGCTGCCGTCTCTCTGTCGGCCCTGAGCCATGAACGCATCACTGATTCAGTCACTGGTTTTCTAATCAGCTGCTTCTTCTACCAGCCTGATTCTTACTTTTGTTTGTCTCTCAGTTTCTTAGGCATCACACTCTCAGGAGTCCATGTGTCCTGGCAGAAAAAAATAAAAACGTTTATTGGCAGAACAACACAAATAGTTTCTAATCCCACAGAAAAGGTTTCGTCGCTCACCGAATCTACGAAGGTGATCCCGAAGGCTTCATATCCCAAGTAGAGCAGCTCCTTCTCCAGTATGGACTGCTGCATGTGCTGCTTCACCATCTGAGGGAGACAAGTTAGATCAGGACCTCACATTCTGCTGTTACTCTGAGTCAGCCAGTTCCCCAGAAAACAGATAACTCTGAAGCACGTCTAGAAAGTGGCTAAAAACATCTTCATCAAGTTGGTGGTTTAGATTTCACCAGCAGCACCGACTGGTTTTTACTGGCAGGCTCTGTTCGGCCTGGTTTTCTTCCACGATAAACTTTTATTAAAACATTTTCATTAATATTTTAACAGGTATCAAATAGGGTAGGAAGATGTTTTTTTAAATGCATATCAATTAAAGAAATTCATATTTATTGATATCAATAATTATTAGAAAATATCAAAAAATTATAACAAATATATTTTAAGTGTAGCCTTGGCCATTTTATGCTATTCCTTAATTAAATACTTTCAATAAAGAACAGACAAAAACTGAATTAAATTTAATATTTTATTTCATCTTTATTTTCCTAAGGCTGAACGACTTGAGGAAAAGACTGAATTCCGATCTTTTTTCCGATAGAGATTGCGATTTCAGTCCCACTCATTATTTTCTTCAAATCAAGGTTCAACACATTACTCACTATTATATATGTTGACACAGACGACAGGCAACAACTTCATACCATCGACAGATATTTGTTTTTCTCCTCCCGTTGTTTTTAATAGTACTTTACGATTGAAGTGCCTTGTGAGACTTAAAAGTTCTTTCTTCTCCTTCTATTTTAATAATTCAAGGAGGAAAGAGGAAGGTATAGAAATAGCTTTCAAATGTATTTGTTAACAAAAAATGCATACAGAGTATAAGCTGCATTATTTCACCAAGGCAGACATGGACAGACGGCCTCAGCCGTAGCTTATTTTCGTTGTAACAGCGCTATGAAAGGAAAAAAAAAACAGGAAAAAACTAATTTGTCCAGCAGTTTCTTCTGCTAGGAGTATTGTGTCTCCTGTTTACCTTCCCCAGCCTCCTCACTAGGGTTGTCACGATACTAAAATTTCAAACTCGATTCGATACTTGAAAAAAACTCGATACTCGATTTCGATACTATTTAAAAACACCCATTTATCGAACAAGTTAATTCAAAAAATAACATTCCTCAATTTATATTACAAAAATTAAATGTTAAGAATTAAGTGTATTAAGTGCTTAAACCTTTCAAGTATCAGCATTTTTTAAAACGTGCATACAAAAACTGGTGAAAGTTAACACTTTAAATCATGAATTGTCTCACTATATATACACTATTAGCAGAGTGATGTTTTGCTGCTTAAACTCTGTTTAAGGTGCATTTTTGTCATAAGATGTAATGCCAAATGTTTTGTTCTGTACTTTTGAACAACTCTGTTGGTCAATAAAGGGAGAAAACTAATTTCTCCACAGTAGGACAAAGGTACATCTACCGGTAATCTTAATAAAAACAGACTGGCGCACGGCAGTGACGTCATTAAAAGCGCCGGTTAGATTAGCCGCAGCTAGTCTGTTTACGCCTAGAAATCCCAGACCAGACCCGCTCCAAACGAACAGGGGAATCACGTTAATGATTCCTAACAAAACCTTTCGACATGAAGATGTTTTGGTGCAGATAATGTCTTATTTCGAGGCTGCACCATGGGCGCCCGTCCGCACCCGTTATATGGATATACGCTGACGGAGATTCGCCGATGGATCTAAATACCCCGGGGAATCCAAGTAGCACCAAAGTTGTCAGCGTGAGTAAACAAACGTACTGCATGCTAGAAATTAAGTCCGGGTTGCAAAAAACGGGAGTTTCCTTTAAGCACATAAGCGTGAATATACAACTACGTGTCGGACTTGGTATGCTAATTAAGTTGGGCTGTGAAGCGCCTCCCAAATTCGCTGTTTATGTTTTTGTTTATTTATTTGGCAGACAAAACTTGGATCAGAGACAACTCGCGTGGGAAATTGCTATGTAGCCATGCGGCGTCTTCTTCTGTTTGTCTGGGAGGCGGAGGCTGCTTTACGGCATCTGGCTGTCGTGCGTGTCGGTGTACTTGAAGAAGGCTGTGTATAATAGTCCATAATATCGATACCACAGGGATGGAATATCTCATTTAGATACCACTTTTAGTATCGATTTATACCTGGGTATCGATTTTTTTGACAACACTACTCCTCACCCGCAACAGTCCTCTCCCCCTTTCTTACGTGCTGGAAGTTATGTCTCATGAAGAGACTCTTTTAATAAAATTATTCTTATTTTGGTCTCATAAAATGATTTACATTCATATTCTGTGTTATCTACAGTGATTTAATAATGCCTTTACTGCTTCACTGTAAATTAATGAATCAACATAAATGTTTATTATTCATGACTTTTTTCGGATCTTAAACGAGTCTACTGATGATTTGTAATGATTTATTAACAGTCACATTCAAATAGTAATATCGTAGATTAACAAATGAATGTTCAGCTATTTACTTCATATAACAAATGAAATAAGCTTTCTAAGGGTCTCAGAAGGGGGAGTGTTTGAGGACTCTTGATAAAACCTATTCAAATTTCTCAGATCCGGTTGGTCAAAGTTTATAAACAGCCACTTCTTAAAAGTGATCTCACTTCCTACTTTCCCCAGTTCAGCCGAAGCTCTGAGTTCCAGCCAAGATCATGCTAAATTCTCTGGGGAATCAACCAGATTTTCCAGTGGAATCATTTTAGCGACTTAAAGAATGATCCTTTTTTTGAATTAATCAATTACTATTTGTTAAATCCACCACCAACTCATCAGATGCGAAACCGTCTGCTAGAAGCCACCTGGGAAGTATCTTTTTGACCAGTCGTGCATGTTCTGAGGGGTCCCTACAACCTTCAGACACATCAGAAGTCCACTGTAGGCAGCTCTGTGTTCACCTAGATCAAAGTCATTTAGAGAGACCTCACCCGTGTGGACCATGGTGGTCTGTAACACGTGCGGTTGGGGGGAAGGGACTTCCCCTTAAAGTATACCCTTTTTTCCTCCTCTGCTCCCTAAAGCCGGGCGTACACTGTGCGACTTTTTTCACTTTTTTGAGCCGATTTTCCACTCGTGCGAGAATCCACAACATCGGGGCGAGTTTTGCGCCGAGCGGTCGTGTAGTGTACAGAGAGGCGATTAACACCACGTGACCAGCTGCCGATCAGCAGTCGTGAGCTCGCACGGACTTCTGGCGTGTTTAAAATTTCGCTCGTCCCTCGTGAGGGTATCGCACTGTTGAAGCGGAGCTGCGACCCAAAAAGTATCAGAACCGCTGATGGCGCAATCCTGCATCAACACCGCTCGCTCGCTGTTTCCCTAATAACACACGTTGTTCGTTTTTATTTCTACACGTTTTTTTACTCACAAAGATTGTCAAGAAAGCGTGTTTGTCGTGTTCATGTCAAATTAAACTGATCACAAAACACAGATTTACTTTCTTTATTTCTCATCCAACCCCCATAAATCTCTGTGTGTCCTCCTGCAGCACTCCCGAAGGACAACAGGCAAGACAAGACAAAAAAGTCTGACGTGTTGAGTAAAAACGGCTATTTTCAGCATATTTTTAGGGCCGACGTGTTGCTACCAGACGTACAGTGTGAGCAGTCAGGTCGCCTCCGAGAACTGGGTCGTGCAGTGTGAGCGCATGACTCGTGAGATCTGCCCTGCGAGGAAGTCGTACAGTTTGAGCTGAAGCTGAACGCTGCGAGTGAAAAAGTCGCGCAGTGTACGCCCGGCTTAACTCTTGGCTCCCCAGCTCGCATCGTCACCATGTGGAGTAGAGCGGTCAGCCGCTCTGCTCCCCCACCTCAGGAAATTGAACTGAGTAGGGTTAACTCTAGCTTGTTCGTCTGATTCACTTACTGCAGAATGAATAAGACTGGATCAGTACCTGTCTGGCTGTGATGGTTCTAGCCTTGTCCTCGCCAAGCACTACAGAATAGTAGTTCAGGTTCTGCTTCATCACCTCGTCCTCGGGGTAGAACAACAGGTAGGTCTTAGCACACTCTATGGCCTGCTCGTACTTCTCACCTGGAGGAGGAGACGGTTCAACAGCATGGCTCAAATGGACCTGCCTCAGACTCTGATTATGAAGCAGAACATTGACTCTGATGAAGAAATTCACTCATCCAGCCGGGAAGATTGACGCTGCTGCAACATCAGACAGCTGGTGCTGCACGAGAGGTGTGTGGAGTTTACAAGCTCCAAACGTTGGGTTTGATGTTTGTTTAACCTTCTTTGGGACGTGATGGATGTAGAAATGATGGTAAAACACCGCTAACGTGACAGTCGTAGCGACAATGTGAAAGAAATGCCATAAAAAAGGGGCAGATGCCGATGCGTTATGTATGGAAGTCTAAGTGTGTCACATAATCATAAATATAAAAGTAAAATATCACATTTAAAAAGAGCTTTATTTATGTATATATAAATTAAAATGTTCCAAATATAATGAAAATTTCAAAACAACTTAAAAATAAGAAGTAACATCTGTAAAAATTATGCATTCAAATACGGCAGCCTGATGACATCACAATACGCAAAATAGATGAGTGAATTTGCTCCCAACACAAACTTTGGGTCCTACTGAAGATTTTTCTCTCCTATAGTTTAGCTTTATCTTTAACCATTTCCAAGCTACAACCTTTTGAAATAGTCATGTCAAAATTTAATATTTTCTTGTAAAAACTCTGGCGCTCAAAGGGTTAAGTAAACCGTAGTAATGCTGTTATTACTGTGGTAAAGATCACGCATGATAATGTAAAAGGTTGATTTACATCTAATTAATGGACCATAAGACATGAGATTCCATACTAAATATGAAATCAATCTTACGGACCGTTGGGTTATTTTAACTAGATGATTGGAACTTTTTATTGCAGGGATTATGTAACACTTTGTATTAACTGAGAGACAAGAGAAGAGAGAGTCACCTTTAAAACGATTAAGATGATTTATTTCTAAACAATTTTAAACAAGACTAACTCTAAATTCTAAGTGAATGAATGGATCTTGGTGTAATAAGACGTGAGATGAATGGTGTATGTGTGAGTGATGTCATCAGAGCTCTCGTATCCGGAGAAGCAAGTCTGAGTGATGAAGTGAAGTGTTTTGCTCTTAAGCTATGATCGGAGTTTCATAAACACATAAGACGCCATTTTGTTGCTCCACACATACCCTTCAGGATGAGACCTCCGTACAGATCCAGACTGCCAGGTCCTCGGACCCCCCTTTCGGTACAGGAGCCGGTGAAACAGCGTCAGCAGTACGATGGACTAGTCTTTGGATTGTCTCCAGGTAAAAAGCAACAGTTGGTTGATAGCGTCAGATGCACCCGGAGGGTCAGTGAGTTCAGCTTTTATTCTGAAAGGAACCGTTGCTTGGTCGGTAAAGTGCAACAGATTTTATCCAGCTTGTTGGTTCTTTGCTTAAAAAGGAAGTCCGGGTGGCCGGTCCGATACTTCTCTTAGCATGCGGTGAACTCCAGTGAACTGAAGAGAACTCAGAGAACTGAACTAAGATGGCGTGGGGACTGGTTTTATTAATCTGAATGTTTTGATTTATGGTCGAATCAAAGTTGGCAGATATATAAACACCACAGAGACTATGCCACGCTTCAGAAAGGAAGGTTCTGATTGGATGAGTAAAAGCAATGTGTCATGTGTTTACATTACGTGTAATCAGCGTGTCTAGTGCAGCTAGATTAAAGTCATATTACTTATCAAAAGTTACTAATCATAACATTGTCAGTTCACAGATTGGTCAACATCTTATTATTGACTAACACCTTGTTTGATTAGCTTTATTAAAATAGAGTTCTTTGATTTATTAAAAAGACAGAGTCCTTTGTCTTCATTCTTCTCTTGGGCTGGAAAGGAAGCAGTATAGAAGCAAATGCATGACCTTGAGGCAGTCTCATGCAGATTAGTTCTGTGACAGAGACATCTGAGGAGAGAGGGTAAATAACCTTCGGTGGAATAGCTCCTTCATCACGTTACACCTATCTTTCCCACACTTAAAACAATTATGACAGTTTCACCCCCGATCCACAAACCATTCCCAGTTACACACACACACACACACACACACACACACACACACACACACACACACACACACACACACACACACACATTAAAAGACCACAGTAAACACTAGGATCAGCGCAGATTGGGCAGGTAATGAAAGACGCCATCAAGGGTGCCATCTGCCTTGACAGTAGGGCTGGGCGATATGGCAAAAATAGAATATCACGATTTTTCCTATATTTTATCACGATTTCAATTTTATCACGATTTCAATTTTATCACGATTTTTTATCCATGAATAGCATAACTTCAATTGCGTATTAAAGAAGAGAAACATTGAATAAATAAATATTTATTCATATTAGGGATAATCAACACAGTGCTAACACACTTATATTTTAAACTCACACCAGAGATGATAAAAGCCCTGAGAGAAACAATTACAAAAATCAGTTTTTCTCGTTTTTCAAGTAACTTAACATAAATTAAAATCGTAAACATATTTAAAGTGCAAACATGTCAATTGCAAACGTATTGTGCAAACATTAACTTGTTCAAAATACTATGTAGCTCCCAGTTGCTCATGTAGTGGATAGTTAAGCTCAAATACGGCTCTGATGTGCGGCTGGACCAGAGATCGCTTGTGGTAGCAAAAAACTGTGCATTCTGAATATTTTCTGCAACAAGTCTCTAAATAAAGTAAAATTTTCCCGTGCAGATTGGAGACAACCCATAGAAGCACTGATTTGATCTCATTTAAGAGAAAAATAGAACAGGTTAGATGCACCTAATAAATACAATTACAAACAAACTCAGGAATCTTTCTTTGCTTCACTGTTCTGCTGCTGAAAATATCACTAATGCGGATTAAAGGAGATACACAGATGAATGCACCTCTTATTATTTGGAGACTACATTTACTGCAGCTGGCAGAGGCAGAGATTGTTTCTATTGATGCACGGAGTTTACAGAATCATTTTAAATGTTAATAGGGGAAGACTGCAGGAGGGAGCGGTAAAATACAGGGGGTCCCCAGCAAAAACAAGAAACTACGAGTGTGATGAAACCCGCTGGTTTTCCATCAGGCAGTCACGGGGCAGCTCCAACGACTCAGTGACCGAGCTCAGTCCGGTACCGACACCGGCTCGGCAGAGGGTGGACGAGCCGAGGCGACGTCGTGCTCTGCTTAAGAAGCGGTGTTATTTTCCTGCTGCAGAAGAAGCGTCCAACGTGTTTTTACGCTTTCTCCGAGACATGTCACGTCGCTAAGTTGTTAGCGTCGCGCGCTAAGGAAACCCTGCGTTCCTCTTCGGAACGAAAACCTCGTCGCTCAGCCGCGGCCGAAGCCATGTTTGTTCACACACAGGTGAAAACAAGCGGGGCACTAATATATTACTATGACTCACTCTGATTGGTTAAGGGTCAAACAAAGGCGTGTTATTCGCCTGAGGTAAGTTCCCTTTTCATCCAGAGGCAGAAATTCAACAGCAGAGCTGTGAATCGTGATAAAAAGGTCTCTCAAAAATGACAGACCGTCAGATGTGTAGATCGTAAAACGGTCTAAAATCGTCATATCGCCCAGCCCTACTTGACAGCAGCAGATCCATGGCAGCAGTCAAGACACCAATCCAGGGCGCCCTGGGAGGGAGGGCGGCAACCCCCACCACTACCTGGGCACTACCCAAGGAGCGCCCCAGCCGCCGCCACTGACCACAGGTCCCGAGGCAGAGGGCTCCACAGAGGAAACACTGGAAGGATTAAAATACGTAACATGTAATATCTGTAACATAATGAAGGAGCTACTCCTCAAGGTTAATTATCCTCTAACCACAGTTCCCTTTGACACAGCGCCAGAGTGCATGAAACAGCCTCAAGGTCATGCATTCGCTTCTAAACTGTTTACGTTCCAACAATGAAGACAGAAGATGAAGACTCTTCTTTTCTTTCATTAGATCAAAGAACTCTATTTTTAATAAAGCTACTCAAAACAACTGTTAGTCAATAATACAATGTGACTGATCTGTGAAATCACAACATTATGATTAATATGTTTTTAATAAGTAATATGACTTATTCTAGTCACTAGACACGCTGATACACTAAGGTAAATAATCACATGACACATTGCTGTTGCTGATCCAATCAGAACCTTCCTAGTCTGAAGCGTGGCAGAGCCTCTGTGGTGTTTATTAAATCTGTCAGCTTTGATTCGTCCAGAATCAAAAACATCCAGATTAATAAAACAGTTCCAACGCCATCTTAAGTTCAGTATTCAAGATCCCCTGAAGTTCACCGCATGTTAAGTGAAGTACGGACAGGCCATCTATACTTTTCTTTCTAAGCTGAGAACCATTCAAGCTGGGAAAATTCCGTTGTTACCAACCAAGCATCTGGTCCTTCAGAATGAAAGCTGAACTCGCTGACCCAAGGAGGGTCCCCTTTTTGATGCTGTGAAACACCTGTCGCTTTTTACCTGGAGACAATTCAAGGACTAGTTTGTCGTGCTGTGACGCTGTACCATCGGCTCCAGTACCGGAAGGAAGGCCCTGCAGGACCTGGACATTCTGGATCCATCGTGGAGGTCTCACTGAGTGTATGTGGATGCGACAAAAATGGCGTCTCATGTGTTTATGACTACGAGTCTCAAACGCTGATCAGTTAGGAGCAAAACATCATCTCCCACTCAGACTTCGCTTCTCCAGATGCGAGGGTTCTGAATTTAACATCATTCACCTCACACTTCACTCCAACAGAACATCCATCAATAGAGTTAGTCTTGTTAAATTGTTTAAAATTATTTAGTAAATAAAATTCCTTAAACGTTGAAAGTCTCTCTCTCTTCTCTTGTCTCTCAGTTAATGCAAAGTGATATTTTAAAGTCCCTGTAATAAAAAGATCCAATCTTCTGATTTAAATAACCCAGTGTCCGTACGATGGATTCATACTAGATACGAATTACTAATGTCTTAAGGTCCTTAATTAAATGTAATTAAAACTGATCATTACATATCAGACCGCCTCAGGCCAGCTGTTACATAGTAGATTACACTGCATAACGGAAAGTGCTTTATGTATCTAATCCGGTGATTCTCATTATTTTCTGTTGTGTCCCCCATTTATGGAAAGAAAAAATTGTTTAGTTTAGCTGGTAGAAAAGTCCAGGGGCTTGTTAATATAACTAGGGTGTAAAGTCTCCAGGTGCCGCTTTAACTTGTTAGGTTTCATATTGTCGGTTGCCAAAGTTTTTAGGCAGAAAACACAAATGGGTCTTTCTTCATTTCCGACCGTGTTCACGGTAAATCCAAGCGCTACGTAGGCTTCATTATATTTTCTGGTCTTTTTTTGCCGGCTACTTGCCTCTTGTACCTCCGCCGATTTTCTTTTCACCGTCATAAACTTTTCCATCTCTACTCCTCCATCAGCGCCCTCACTCTGCACACTGGGGCACCCGTGTGTGTGTGTGTGTGTGTGTGTGTGTGTGTGGGTGGTCGGTCTTCTTCTGCTGGGTTAAAAGGGCAGCTTAATGAGTAGTTCAATGGTCTAACCCCAAGCCAGTTACCTCTGGAGTTCCTCAGGGCTCAGTCTTAGGTCCCCTTCTTTTCATAATCTACTTACTCCCACTTGGCAATATCTTCAGGAAATTTAATATTCATTTTCACTGCAACGCCGACGACACCCAGCTCTACTTCTCTACCCAACCAAACCCCCCGCTCCCTTCATCCTCCCTTCTCAGTTGTCTCACCGAAGTCAAATCCTGGTTTGCTTCTAACTTTCTACAGCTCAACAGTAATAAGACTGAGATCCTCCTCACTGGCACCAAGTCATCTCTATCCAAGACCAGCTCATTCTCACTCAGCTTCGACAACACCACACTTCTCCCCACCGCCAAAGCTAAGAGCTTGGGTGTCATCCTAGACAACACCTTATCTTTCATTCCTCATATTAACAACACAATAAAAACTGCTTATTTTCATCTTCGCAATATCAATCGGCTCCGCCCCTCCCTCAGTCAGCACTCCACTGCTATTTTGGTCCACAGCCTGGTCACCAGTTGCATCGATTACTGTAATGCCCTCCTCTCTGGTCTCCCTTTAAAATCACTCAACAAGTTACAGTTAGTCCAAAATTCAGCTGCCCGGATAATCACCAAGACCTCCACTTTTGATCACATTACCCCTGTGCTGCAACAACTTCACTGGCTCCCTGTCAAATACAGAATTAACTACAAGATACTTCTTCATGCCTTTAAAGCCATCCATAATCTCGCTCCCCCATATCTTTCTGATCTCCTCCACATTGTCACTCCCACTCGCTCTCTCCGATCATCATCTTCACCTTCCCTGTCTGTTCCTCGCACTCGTCTTAGTACTATGGGAGCCAGAGCTTTCAGCCACTCAGCTCCGAAACTCTGGAACACTCTACCGCCTGACCTCCGCAATATAAACTCCTTCTCAACCTTCAAGTCTCACCTCAAAACTCACATGTTCCGCCTGGCTTACTCACTGTAACTGTCCTCCTTCCATCTACTCTTTTTAGTCTATTATCCATCACACTGCTCCGACTCTACCTTTGGGAATTACTTTTAGCATTTATTTCTTGTTGTTGTATTGCTTGCTTGTTATATTTTGTCCTGTGAGAGTTTTGAAAGGCGCTTGAAATAAAATGTATTATTATTATTATTATTATTAGTTAGAGCGCTGCTGCCACCTAGTGAATGGGGGTGGTTTAGCATTCCATTTTGAACAAATTATGCTAAAACAAAAATAATGAATTCTCCTGCCCCCCCCAAACTACCTGTGCCCCCCCGTGGGGGCGTGCCCCACGGGGGGCGCACAGACTTTGAAAAACTTTGAAAGGTAGACTCACTGTTGTAGTAGGAGAACTGCAGGTAGTTGAAGTGTGAAGGCAGGAAGTCGTGGAAGGGCTGATCTCTGCCTGCAGCTGAAGCCAGGTCTACAGAGCAGTGCTGCTTACAGCTCAGAACCTGCAGGTAGTGGTCTGACACACACACACACGCACGCACGCACGCACGCACGCACACACACACACACACACACACACACACACACACAGTCAGATTCACCATCATTTGTGTGTGTGTGTGTGTGTGTGTGTGTGTGTGTGTGTGTGTGTGTGTGTGTGTGTGTGTGTGTGTGTGTGTGTGTGTGTGTGTGTGTACTGATCACCTGTCATGGTCTGGAACAGGTCTGCACTGTACTCCATGTAGTTGTATCCATCAAAACGGTACGCCCCCTCACACAGGGCTCTACACTTCTTGTCAGCAACGAAGTACTCGTCTACAGCCACCTCAAAGTGCTCAGCTGCCAACCAAAAGGACTCATCGCTGTAGAAACGTTTCCCCAGCAGAAACTCAGCCTGAGCAAAGGCAAACTCAAAACACTCAAAATGTCATCAGTAATTGTTTCTCATGCAGAAACGTTTCCACCTCACAACAAACACAAAGCTGTTTCTCACCATATGTGTGCTGGACTCCAGATCTTTGAAGTCCTCTTCCTGTACTCCAGCCATCATCCTGTAGTAGTCCAGGTTCTGCTTCATCTCTGAGTGATCTGGATTGGCCTGGAAGAACGTTTTGGCTGCTGCCACTGCCTTGTCCAGTTTGTTGATCTAAAAAGCACAAAAATGTTCTTCCATTCATCCTTCCTCCCTCCGGAAAGAAACAAATAGCGCTTCATAAAGGTTAGGAAATGAGTAAAAGCAGGACAGACATCAAGAGTTAGGAACTCTGAAGAAGTGTTGAAACAGTGGTTTTGAGTGCTCCTGCTTCTCATTCTGTATGTCCACCAGCTGTAGAGCACCAACCTGAGTGGATGATGCGCAGAGCTTTATCTTCTAATTAAAAAAGATTTTACATGCATAGTTTGCTTGTTATTTTAAAGGGACTTTAAGGAAGTTAACCAAAACACGTTGGCGACGGTGGCACAGCAGTTAAGTGCTCGCCCCGTAATCGGAAGGTTGCAGGTTCGAGCCCTGCTCAGTCTGTCGCTGTCGTTGTGTCCTTGGGCAAGACACTTAACCCACATTGCCTGCTGGTGGTGGTCGGAGGGACCGGTGGCGCCAGTGCTCGGCAGCCTCGCCTCTGTCAGTGCGCCCCAGGGCAGCTGTGGCTACATTGTAGCTCATCCCCACCAGTGTGTGAATGGGTGAATGACTGATTGTGTTGTAAAGCACCTTGAGGGGTTCCAGGACTCTAGAAGACGCTATATCAAATACAGGCCATTTACCATTTACGTATAGAAATTTAAAATGTCTTCCTCATACATTCTCCTACAATGCCCTGGTCTTGTAGAATGACCCTTGGCTTTTTTACTGTGATTGCCTGAGAATTTCTGTAAAATGACAGAAAAAGAGCATGTGGGTGGGTGCTGAGCATGCGCTGACGGCCGATCACCGTATACACGGCAGCGTTTGAAGCTGATGGCAGCTCGTTAGCAAACATCCACAAACAATTTAGATGCATTTTTGCCTAATTTAACTACTGACAACGAAAAAATAATCTGGTAAGTATAACTCGCTCAATCTGGAGGTAAGTGAAGGAAATTTAGAAAGTTTGTTAAATTATATTGACGAAGTTTTTGAAGTTTTCGTCATGGGTCCGAAGAAATCAGCGGCTGAGGCTGAAACACCTGGGATCAAGAGGAGCTGTCCTCAGGACTCGCCTGAGGCCTCATCTCCCCGGAAGGACGTATTAGAATTATTAGATTCTATTGATTAATGGCTTCTGGGATTTGAGGGGCAACTTGACCTGCTCGAGGTTCTACACCAGGAGTTTCAGAACCTCCGAACATCTCTGGAGTTCAGTCAGGAGCAGGTTGAGCGGCTCGCTGCTGAGAACGCGTCTCTGCGGTAGTCCGTTTCTTTCCTGGAAGAGGGAATGACGCGGATCACCCAGGACAACAAAACTCTGAAGGAGACGGTTTTGGACCTTCAGGCCCGTAGCATGAGGGATAATTTGGTGTTCGCAGGCCTGCCGGAGCAGGCGGGAGGGGCGGAGAACTGCGAGCAAACAATTAAGAACTTTCTCCAGACCCAAATGAAGATACCCGAAGAAACAGTAAAAAACATCACATTTCACCGGGTACATCGCCTTGGAGCTAAAAGAGGGGACAGCAGAAGTCCTCATCCCATCGTGGCTAAATTTGAACATTTTAAGCAGAAGGATCATGTTAAAAGTCACGGAAAAGAGCTCAAAGGGAAAGACTTCAGCGTAAATGTGTCACACAACCTCCCTCTCAGCCGTCAACCTCCTCTAGGGAGGCACCGCAGAGCCGCTCAGACTCCATTACCCAACATCCCTAGCGCCAGGCTTCCGTTTCACGTCACCCGCGAAACCTATATAAGGAAGTGCCGCACAACGCCGGCTCACTCAGTCATCGTTCTCACCGAACTTAACCTAGAGTCCGAACCAGATCAGCTCAGATCACGAAGCCTGTTCAGATCAGACCAGCCAGATCAGACCAGCCAGATCTCAGAATCCTGCCTGTTCGTACAGATCAGCTTCAGACCAGGAGTCGCCGTGTTCAGCTGTGTCACCATACAGCTGCGCACCCGGCTCCCAGATTAAACAGCGTGTCCATTCAACCCGGCGTCAGTCACTCCGCGCTTGGGTTAAAAGCCACGCCACATCCAAACTCTCGCCTAGCTCGAGTCACCCCGTTACAGGATGACTGAGTCCACAGTTAACCCAGCGGAGTTTGACAACCTGCGTGCTCAGGTCAACCGGATGGAAGTCACGGTGGAACGCCTGGCCGCCAAGGTGGATTCCATCGCCACGGTGGTTCTCCAGCTCTCTGCTGCGCAGCAGCAGCAGACCTCCAGAGACCGAGACCAACCTATATTCAGCCTCCCGGAGAAATGGGATGGAACGCATGGCTCACCTGAAGGACTGTTAGCCACGTTAGCCATGACGTTCGAATGTCAGCCACACCGATATGCCACACCCCGCTCCCGAGTGGCGATGCTGGTCTCCCTCCTCACCGGCCGAGCTCAGGAGTGGGCAGCCGCCATGTACAATAAGAAATCGGAAGTCTGCAATGACTATGATATGTTCGTGAACGAACTCACGAGGGTTTCCGTTCCCCCCAGTGGCGAGACGTCAACGGAGACGCAACTCCTCCAGCTCCGGCAAGGAAACCAGACGGTAGCGCAGTACACGTCTCGGTTCCGGACCAAGGCGGCCAAGCTGAGATGGGGAGACGACGCGCTAAAGGCGATCTACCTGGAGGGGCTCTCCTCCCGCATCAGAGACGGGATGATCGGACGGGAGACCCCCGGGACCCTGGACGAGGCAGCCGACCTTGCTCTCCAAATGAATTTGCGCCTCTTTACGCGCCGACCTGCTGAGCCCGCGGCAGCGGCAACCAACGATCGGTCCCGCTCAGTCAGCCCACTCACTGATGAGCCCATGCAGCTGGGACACTTAAACCCAGAGGAGAGGGAGAGGCGCTATAAGGAGGGGCTATGCGCCTATTGCGGCGCACCGGGCCATCGGCGCTTCTCTTGTCCTTCCCGGCCGGGAAACGCTGTCTCCAAGTAGGCAGCAGCAGAGGGGTCCTACTTGGGTCGGCCGGAACCCGCTCGACCCGCACCATGCTCCCAGTGACACTTCATCTCGCCCAGGGGCCCGTTGAGCTGGAGGCGCTTTTGGATTCTGGAGCAGCGGACTGTTTCATGGATAAGGATCTGGCGGCCCGCCTACACATTCCCCTGTCCGCTCTCCACCGAACCATTCCCGTGACCTCCGTGGATGGTACTCCTCTCCAGCCCTATCCCATCCACCAGGAGACGGTGGACCTCCGTATGGACGTACCTCCCCATTCTGAGACCCTCCGGTTCCTGATTATCACAGCCCCTTTATCTCCACTGATCCTGGGTCACTCCTGGTTCTTACGTCATAACCCCCAGATCTCCTGGTCAACTGGGCGGGTGCTCACCTGGGGAGCGGCTTGTCATTCCCATGTACCTTCTCAACCTGACTCTGAACCTGAAACCCCAGATGTCGATGTCTCTCAGATCCCCTCCTGCTACCATGACCTGGCCCGGGTCTTCTCAAAGACACCTACCACCACCCTGCCTCCTCACCGACCATATGACCTGGAAATAAAGCTCCAGCCTGGCACAGTTCCACCCCGGGGTCGCCTGTACTCCTTATCCCCGGCTGAGACCCAGGCCATGGAGGCGTACATAACGGAGGCTCTCCAACAGGGGTTTATCCGACCCTCCACCTCGCCTGGAGCGGCGGGGTTCTTCTTCGTAAAAAAGAAGGAGGGGGGCCTTCGACCCTGCATCGACTATAGGGGTCTGAATAAGATCACGGTCCGCGACCGTCACCCTCTGCCCTTGATGTCCACCGCCCTGGATGTAGTGTCCCAATCTGCCATATTCACCAAGTTGGACCTGCGCAGCGCCTACAACTTGGTCAGGATAAAACAAGGCGAGGAGTGGAAAACCCCTTTCATCACCCCGACAGGCCACTGGGAGTACCTGGTCATGCCCTTTGGCTTGTGTAACAGTCCCGCGGTTTTCCAACGGCTAATCACTGACGTCCTGAGGGACATGCTGGGCCGGTGGGTGTTTGTTTACCTTGACAACATCCTGGTCTACTCCCGAACCCTGGACGAACACATCACACACGTGCGAGCCGTTCTTTCCCGGCTGCTGGAGAACGGTCTCTACTGTAAACTGGAGAAATGTGCCTTCCATCAGGAGACCATCTCCTTCCTGGGTTTCGTCGTGTCGTCAAGAGGATTTTCAATGGACCCCCAGAAGGTCCAGGCTGTCGCCCAATGGCCGCAACCCACTTCCCTAAAACAGCTCCAGAGCTTCCTCGGATTCGCGAACTTCTACCGCCGCTTTATTCGCGGTTTCAGTTCCATCGCCGCGCCCCTCACTGCCTTAACCAAGTCATCCAACCAGACTCACCCTTTCCGTTTCACTCCTGAGGCCACACAGGCATTCCGCACCCTGGTGCACCGATTCACGACCGCTCCCCTCCTCGTTCATCCGGACACAACAAAGCCATTCATCGTGGAAGTGGATGCGTCCGAGGTGGGTGCAGGGGCGGTCCTATCTCAACGCGGTCCAGACTCCAAACTCCACCCCTGTGCCTATTTCTCCAGGAAATTCACACCAACCCAGAGGAATTACGGGGTGGGGGACAGGGAGCTCCTGGCTATTAAATGGGCGCTGGAGGAGTGGAGGCAGTGGCTATTGGGTGCCCAGGACCCGTTTACCATATGGACAGACCACCAAAACCTAATTCATATCCAGAATGCTCGCCAACTCAACCCTCGTCAAGCCCGGTGGGCTTTGTTTTTCGAATCCTACCACTTTCATCTGGCCTATCGCCCTGGTTCTAAGAATCTGAAGGCGGACGCCCTTTCCCGCCATCACGCCCAATCAGCACCCGTCAAGGAACCACCGCCTATTTTACCTGCCCAGAGGTTCGTTGCAGCCCTTCACTGGCCAGTGGAGGACGCCATCCGAGCTGCTCTTCCCACCGAGCCCGCACCGGCTGACACACCCTCCAACCGACTGTATGTGCCATCCACCTGCCGGTCTGAGGCCCTAGCATGGGGACATGATTCCCGTTTGGCTTGCCACCAGGGGGAGACCCGCACCCTCCAGTT